CGAACCTTAACTTACGTACGTAACGGTAACGGTAACCGTAACTACTACTACTTTCTTTCTACGTACGGTACGTACGTACGTAGTATAGTAGTTGTTCGTCCTCTCTCTCTCTCTCTCTCTCTCTCTCCACACACACACACCTACATGATAACGCTTACAAATACATATGAGTGAATTTCTACAATACTTCACTCATGACTCATCACCATATAAAGTCCATTAGAAGGCCAATTGTTCAATAATATTTGAATTGAAATAGTTTTTTCATAATCCAATTTATCTGAAATTTGGGACGTATGTACATCTAGCCATCTCTTCCCTATATCAATATAAAAAATAATTATAAAAAAATGACAAAAATACCCCTAAAATATTTAGAGGGAAAATTTGGTCATTTTATTGTTTGAATATATTTTTATGTTTTATTTGGGTGCACCTCACTAAGGCACACACAACCACAAAGTTTGAGGTTAATCATATTTGTTAAAACAAATAAAATTCAAATTGAAATCTTATTAGACACTCGTGACAGTTTGATGGACCTTGGACCGTGATGAGCCATAAGTGAAATACTGTAGAACTTCACTCACGACGGTTTCGAAGTGTTTCCCAGAGAGAGAGAGAGAGAGAGAGAGAGAGAGAGCCCATGGGCAGATGGAATACTACAGGAAGGTAGGGATGGAGGGGGAGAGAGAGAGAGAGAGAGAGAGAGAGAGAGCCAAAGGGCATATGGAACTATCAGTCCCAGGAAGGCACAATATGACCATGCTGAAGAACGATCTCATAGGAGGTTGGCCTCTAGGAAAGGGTCGTTTCCTCTCTCTCTGGGGGGGGGGTGGGGGGTTAACTCTTGCCAATATCCCAATCTTCCAAATGCCACCGTTTCACATGTCAGTCTAGATCTCTACAATATTTGAAAAACTAATGCGCAACTTCCTTTGGGTCGGAGAAGCAGATAAGGATAAGTTTCATTTGATAACATGGGACAAGGAGTGCAAACTCAAATCTTTAGGAGGGTTAGGAATAAGAAGCTTGAAAAAGGACAACATGTCTCTTCTTGGGAAATGGTGGTGGAGGCTTGCCACCCAAGAAGATCAATTCTAGCAGGTGGTACTCAAATGGAAGTACGGATTAGAGGACTCAGAGTCTCCCACATCGCTGTTTATAGGCCTCGAGAGCTTGGGAAAGTATAGCACACAGTTGGGGTAGTTTTAGTGACAATGTCAGATTTAGCTTGAAAGAGATTGATGAAAGCCTTATGAAGGTCAGCGAGAGCATTAAATATGTGAAGGACTCAGTTTCCCATGTACAAATTTTTTTGGAGTTGCACAATAAATGATAGTAACTTGAAAGGTCTCTGTCTTGATATTCCAACAAGATGGAATTCAACATTCCTCATGCTTGAAAGGGCTTAGGAATTTAAAGAAGTCTTCTCTCGCTTTGGATCTTGAGATCCTGGTTATAAGGATACACCATCTCCACAAGAATGGCATAACATTGAAATTTTATGCAAATTTTTAGAGAGTTTCTTGGATATATCACCAATTTTCTCTAGAACACAATAACCCACCGCCAACTTATATTTTTAGGGGATTTCAAGGATTCAAATACACGTAACTGATGAGATGAAGAGCACTAACTCCACACCTTGTGAGATGGCCAAGAAAATGTTTAAGAAATTAGATACATGTTGGAAGGAGTATAGTCTAATATTATCAATTGTGATAATATCGAATCCTTGTTAGAAAATGGATATTATGTTAGAAGGATATATGGTGATGAGATGGTATAAGTATCTCTCATGTGAAGGAATGCTTACAAGCATTATTTCATGAGTATAACAAGAGACTCCCAATGATGTTGGGATTTAGAGAGAAATCTAATTAAGGATGCATTTCTTGAAACAAAGAATAAGTTAGTTAGAACATTACTTGGAAGAACCGAGGATAGATAGAAACGAAGATATAAAAAATTTGGATTTCTAGAGATCATTTGTAGTTAGGTTCCCTATTCTTTCTTGCATGGCCCGTGATATCATGGTAATTCTTATTTCTTTTTTGGCTTTGGAGGCCGTATTTAGCACTGGAGGTTGTGTTCTTAACCAGTATCAGAGTTCCTTGAAATCAAAGCATGTAGAGGCTTTGGTTTGTACTCAAGATGGGTTGCGTGCATCCATAGGTAACTTATTTTTAATTTGAAGCTAGTTAATTGTTGCTTAGATTAAAAATAACTAGCTTCAAATTAAACATAACTAGCTTCAAATTAAAAATAAGTTAATCATTACTACTTTAATTTTTGAAGTTGATTAATTGTCGAATAGATTAGCATTGCTATTTTATTAATTAGTAAACATTTATTCTATTTAATATAGGGTCAATAGAGAAGGGATCCATTGATTGTGAGGAATAGATTAGCATTGCTACTTTATTTATTATTAAACATTTATTCTATTTAATATAGGTTCAATAGAGAAGGAATCCATTGACTGTGAGGAAGATTCAAGTTCTTTTGAACAAGAGGGTCAAGCTGTTAGCATTATTGGGATCTATTTTTTTTTATAAAGATGTAGACTTTAATTATTGTTCTTTTTTAATTTAGCTTTATTCACTCTAATTGGGTCTTTTTCTGTCTAGCTTTATTCGCTGATGTTAGCATTATTGGGATCTATTTTTGTTTTATAAAGATGTTGACTTTTTTATAAAGATGTTGACTTTAATTATTGTTCTTTTTTAATTTAGCTTTATTCACTCTAATTGGGTCTTTTTCTGTCTAGCTTTATTCACTGCTGTTAGCATTATTGGGATCTATTTTTTTTTATAAAGATGTTGACTTTAATTATTGTTCTTTTTTAATTTAGCTTTGTTCACTCTAATTAGGACTTTTTCTGTCTAGCTTTATTCGTTCTAATCATGAGAAACAAAATTTTTGAGGGTTTAGCTATTAGCATTGCTGGGGGACTTTCTACCCTTTTTTGATTATTTTTGTTTTCTCTCGCAAATGCTCTCTCCCTCTCTCAAGGTAGTTACATTCTCACTTGAATGCCATCTCCCTTCTCTCTCTTTTTTATTCTCTTTCGAAAATGCTCTCCCTCTCTCTTGAATACCATCTCTCCCAATTTCTCAATATAGTTAAACATTAATATATCTCTCAATATATGTTATTTCTCTCTCCTCTAGGATCTCTCTCCCCCAAGGTAGACCATGCCCATCTTTATCTAACAAACGCATCATTGAGCTCCATAGGCTCAAACCTCACCCACAATTTAAGCATTAAAAAGTAAGAGGGAGGAGGAGAGTCTAATTTGAAACAAGAGAGAGAGAGAGAGAGAGAGAGAGAGTCTGAGTTGGGGAGGGGAGAGAGAGAG